TGAAAACCAATTAATCCATTCTGGAGGTCAGAAAAAAAGTAAAAAAAAAAACTCGCTGTCACTATATGTCAGTGCTGGTTTTTAAATGTAATTACCGCCTTTTTTTTTTCTTCACTATAGCTCAGAGAATCAGCTGTCACTTTCCCCAGGCTAAAAGAAAGAAAGTTACCTTTTAGTTTATTTCCCTGAGTTAAAAGAATCAATGTTTGTTTTCAGTTTGCTGTACATGGTCAAATAGAAGATTTAATTGCATGGACTTTGGATTACTTTATTACACTTTTTTCATGGACTTTCCATCACTTTTTAAGTTTGTTATTGTTTTTTTTACAGTATTCATGAACTATTCATATATCTGTGTTATCACTATTGAGTTTTATGGGTATTCACGAGATATTTTTTATTATAATATGTTTTATTTTATCATTGTATTTATTATTGATTATTCACTCAGCGCCACTTTAAACACTTTATTCATTTGGTGTTTTAATTTAAAAGATTTTTTGGTTTATATATAGTGGCAGTTTATTTACATATAAGTTGCAATTAGCGCGATATAATAGATGTTGATCACATCATCATATTTATTTTATATAAATGTTTCCTTTTAGTTTGTTTACTGAGATAAAAGAAACAAAGTATCCTTTAGCTCCGGGGAAAGTGACAGCTAATTCTGTGAGCTATAGCGAAGAAAAAAAAAGCTGGCAATTGCATTTAAAAATCAGCACCGACATACACTTCGTATTGCGAAAAACAGTTTTTTAAAATTTGTAAACCGAGGCATTATTTTTAATGGATTTTCATTCATAAACTGAAAATTACGTTAAACGAGGCGTTCGTAAACCGAGGTGCACCTGTATTTCTTTCAGTATTGGTTTTCTTTTACAGCTGAAGCTTTGTTGCCACATGGCTTGATTTACCTTTCTGGCCATATAGGGGTCCAGCAGTTAGCATAAAGGAGAATATATATGTAGCATCACTGAGCAATGGCTGCCTGGTAGAGTGTAATTTGTTGGAAAACAGCTTGCTGTTACCTGCTGGATGAACAACAGAGGTAGAGGAGAGCACAGAAGACCTTCACTGCCTGTGTTAAGCCTGCCCACTGCCTGGATTGACAGTGCAGATTGCTGGGGAGTCAGTGTGCAGGGCTTGGGGATCCAGGACAAGGCTCAGGGAGGCAATGATGATGTGTGAGACTGCTAAATTGTCCTGAGACATTGTAGCCTGAGGCTGATGCTGCTAGATGATCTGCTGATGCTGCTAGATTATCTGCTGATGCTGCTAGATGATCTGCTGATGCTGCTAGATGATCTGCTGATGCTGCTAGATGATCTGCTGCTGCTGCTGCTAGATGATCTGCTGCTGCTGCTAGATGATCTGCTGCTGCTGCTGCTGCTAGATGCTCTGCTGCTGCTGCTGCTGCTGCTAGATGATCTGCTGCTGCTAGATGATCTGCTGATGCTGCTAGATGATCTGCTGATGCTGCTAGATGATCTGCTGCTGCTGCTAGATGATCTGCTGCTGCTGCTAGATGATCTGCTGCTGCTGCTAGATGCTCTGCTGCTGCTGCTGCTGCTAGATGATCTGCTGCTGCTAGATGATCTGCTGATGCTGGCTGAGACTATCTGCTGCAGCAGAGACCCGACAAGACTGTTTACTTCTGTGGGAAGTACTACTGTGTTGTGAGCAGGGGCGGACTGACCATTGGGGCACTCGGGCACTGCTCTAGGGCCCGAGGTCAGTAGGGGGCCCCATGAGATGCCCCTGGTACCTTTTATAGGCTTTTTTGGGTGTGGTTTGAGTGTGGGCGAGGACACAGGGGCCCCATGATCCCTATTGTCCAGGGGCCCCATGAGTTGTCAGTCCGCCCCTGGTTGTGAGCTGCTGTGTAGGACCATGTGCTGCTGCAAAAGAGACTGTTTGCTGAGAGAGGACCATGTGCTGCCTAAACTCGATTGCTATTCATGTGTTTCAGTTGTTCAGAGTGATCCAGCTGCTCCAGTTGTTCCAGGATATTCCACCTGTTCCAGTGCCATGCTGCTGTGCAGTGCCAAGAGACTGCTATATTAGGACCCCAGACCTAAACGGAGAAGGGACACAGTGATCATTCATCACTAAATCAGCAGAAGTGGTGAAAAGCCTCTGACTTACTCTTGTTTTATCTGGCCTTTGGGATTATAAATACCCTGGGAAGGGATGGAAATTTCTCTACCAGAGACTAGGAGCCCCAACACCAGCAGGGCTTCCATGTTCACTGGCCAGTGACTAGGTAGTGCCTTTGGCATTTAGATTTAGACTGCTCTATTATTGCTCTAAACATTTGTATTTGTTGCACTATGCTGGAAAGTAAGTACTGTACCTCTGTGTATGGGTAAGTGTCATTCCCTCACACAGGCCTAGTGCATTTTGGCTCCATGCACACTGAGCACTTTAATAACGCTGGTAACATTAGCTGTGTAAAGTCACGTTTAAAATGGAAGTTTTTCAGTGGTTTTTAGCATTTTTGCATCAGCGTTTAGCCCCATTTTTTTGCATTTGCGTTATTTATTTATTTCAGATACTTACATAGCGCCGTCAATTTACACAGCGCTTCACATATATATACTGTACATTCACATCAGTCCCTGACCCTTAAGGGGCGTACAATCTAAGTTTTTAGCATTTTCTCAAAAAAAATCCAAAAATGCCAGTTTGCCGCGTTTTTCAGCATTAGAGAATTTTTCCAGCTAAAAAACTCCTCTAGAAACCCACTAGTTCTGGGTTTTTTTTCCAGCCAAAAAACGCCCCCGTCCAAAAAAAAGCTGATTCCAGTCTAGGTGTGCATGGACACATAGGATAACATGCTGGGGAGTTTACTGGCTGTAGAAAAAAACATCAAAAGCAGCTGCAAAAACGTCCAGTGTGCATGACTTGTCCTCCTGAGGATTTACCCCCCCCCCCCTTCGTGACCAGGCTATTTTTTGTGTTACGGTGCTGCGTTACTTTAACTGACAATTGCGCGGTCATGCAACGCTGCACCCAAATGAAATGTATGTCCTTTTTTCCCACAAATTGAGCTTTCTTTCAGTGGTATTTGATCACCCATGCATTTTTTTATTTTTTGCTCTATAAAAAAAAAGTCTGACAATTTTGAGAAAAAAATTATATTTTTGACTTTTTGCTATTAAACATGTCCAGTAAAAAAAAAATTAAAAAATCATATTTCATCATAAATGTAGGCCAAAATGCATTCTGCTACATGTCTTTGCTAAAAAAAATCCCAATACGCGTAAATTAATTGGTTTACGTGAAAGGTTTTTGTTTACTAATAATGGCGGCGATCAGCGACCTATAGCGGGACTGCGGGACTGCAGCGAACATTCTGACACTGGGGGGAACTGACTTGGTGCCACTGACATCCCCAGTAACACCAATACAGTGATCAGTGCTAACAAAAAAAAAGCAATGGCAGGAAGGGGTAAAACATGAGGATTGATCAAAGGGTTAACTGTGCGCTGGGAGTGTTTTACTGGGGGGTTGTGTGTTGGTGCTTCACTGTAAGCACACTGCTCTGGATGGCTGTGCTGTGCACAGCCATCCAGAGCAGTGTGCCCAAGCTGACAGGGACGAGAACTGTTAGTAAACAAAGCAGCCCTCCTCTCCGTTGGAGATCCTCGGTAATCACCGCGTTCCAGCCGGGACCTGGTGATGGACAGTCGTGGCTGCACATGGCACACGCCCTACCCTTAAAAGCAAAATCAGGTATATATACATGATTTTACTCACCCCTGCCACCCTGTAGCAGTATAGCTGCTATAGGGCGGCGGGGATGCGGTTAATGATGGCCATAGGGAACAAGTGTTTCCATGGTGGTCTGTGTCATATGGTGAACTTATATGTATTGTTATCTTAAAGCTGTATCACCCATCCTTTTCCTTGCAGGGATTTCCTGTTAATAAAGTTAACAATCAAGCAACTCCTCCAGGGGTAATGATACATGGACATGGATAGTATAAGGGTAACAGGTTTAGACATGTGCAGAATGGTAAAATTAATTTCATTAAGGATAAATTTGTTATGTTACAAATTTTTTTTGTGGATTTGTTTCGAAATTAGTTTAGTTTCATTGCGTTTATTAATTATCTAACAAATTCCAAATTTTCATAACAATTCGAATTCAAAGCAGTCGAAAATGTATCGAGCGATCAGTATTTTGTGTGAAGAAAGGTTATTAATGAGCGGGCTGCGAAGCGGGTTGCAGCACCCTTAACAACCGATGACTCATCAGCTATCAGTAGGTTTCCCCACTGACAGCTGAATGTGAACTTAAGAATGTCAGCAATGAAAAATAAAGAAAACTATGTGGGGTCTAGTATGAGTTTTAACCACTTCCAGTCCGGACACTTTTTCCCCCTTCCTGTCCAGGCCAATTTTCAGCTTTCAGTGCCATCACACTTTGAATGACAATTGCGCGGTCATGCAATATGCATATGTACCCATATGAATTTTTTAGCATTTCTTGAGACAGATAAAGCTTTATTTTGGTGGTATTTATTCACCACTGGGATTTTAATTTTTTTTGCTATGTAAATGAAAAAGTCCAAAAATTTTGAAAAAAAGTGTTTTTCATAATAAATAAATAATATTTAATCATGAATCATGGCCAAAATTTATTCCGTTATCTTTTTAGTAAAAAAAATAAAATAACCCAAATTAGTTTATACCAACAATTATAATTGTTAAACTTTTTTTTACATTAGTAAAGTTTTATATTTTTTATATTATTATTTATGTTTTTTTTTAAATTTTACATACTGTCATCCTAGCAGTACAGTGTCACCATGGTGACACTGTACTACTTGTGGGGGGTGATGAAGATTTTTTTTTTTACGCTGATTACTTTTACACCCTTAAGGCTGTAAAAGCAATAATTTCTCCTTCTCTCTGGCTGCATTCTTGCAGCCATTGAGAACTACTGTGTGAGCTGTGATTGGTCACAGTTTGTGGCATGGTACAAGGCTTTTGTGAATAACCTTGTACCATGTGACCTCTGTGATCATTCACAGATTTCACACGTAGTAAGCAATGATGTCAGAAGTGACATCTTGCTTACTACTCTGCATGTGATCACTGATTGGCCAATCAGTGATCACATGATCGGGACCTCGCACAGAGGTCCCGTCCGGCGATTGGTGTTCCACTGTGTCGTATTGCGGTGCTGCGCGCTCCCAGGGAGCGTGCACAAGCAGGGGGCGGGGAGGCCGTTTAGAAACAGCCACCCGACCCTGCACTGCCACCGTTCGGCCGTTTATATACAACGGCCGGATGGGAAGTCGTTAAGAGGAGGCCCATACCAATGTAAAAAAAACAGCATAGGGTCCCCCCAAATCCATACCAAACATTTTTATATCCGAGCATGAAACCCAGTAAGTCAGTCAAGGGGGGGTGAGCGAGCACCCCCCTCCTGAACCATACCAGGCCACATGCCTTCAACATGGGGGGCTCCCCTTCAAAGCACCTTGCCCTAGTGTTGATGGGGACAAGGGCCTCTTCTTCTCAACTCTGGGCTGTGGTTTTGGGGGGTCTGTGGGTGGGGGGGGCTTCAACAGAATCTGGAATCCCCCTTTAAAAAGGAGGTTCCCAGATCCTGCCCCCCCCCATGTGAATAAGTAGGGGTTCAGTGGCCAACTTTCATCATGATTGATGTTGGATCTATTTCTGGGGGACATTTATTTATTTATGTTTTTTTTAATAAAGGACTTGTTAAAAACTTTTTTTGTGAAAGAGTAGGGGTACGTAGTGGGATGGGATCTGGGAGCCCTCTTCTTAAAGGGGGCTTCCAGATTCCGATAAGCCTCCCATAAGCAGACCCCCCAACCACATCCCAGGGTTGTGGGGAAGAAGCCCTTGGCAACATGGGGACAAGGTGAATTTGGGGGGAACTCCCCTTCCCCAAAGCACTCCCCCCATGTTGAGGACATGTGGCTTGGTATGGGTCAGGGGGGGCACTTGCTTGACCCTCCCCCCGACATTTCCTGACCTGCAAGACTGCATGCTCAGATATAAGGGACTGGTATGAATTTTGACATGTCTTGAGTGCCATGAATTGCACAAGTCTAGACAGGCCCCATCTGATAGTAGCAGCAGTAAACCAGGCATTAGACAAGGACACCCTGGAACAGTAGGTTTTTCCTGCATCTTTGTCCTGCAATGCAGCAAATACTACAGGTTCAAAGCAGGAGGGCTATACACAGCAAGTACATAGCATAAAATAAACAAAAGAAAAAAACATTTGCTTGTCTGAATTACTATCTAGGTCCATTCCTGACTAATGGAGTGTCCTCTGATGGGTTTTCTAAAACACACTGGAAACTCTTGTAACTTTTAGTGTTCTGTTAGTAGTCAGCCTTTTCATCCAGCAACAGGCTCTAATAGCAGAGAACGTGAGAGAGCCATGAACATCAGTCAACTCAAATATAAAAAGGCATGTGGACATCTGAGAATATTTAAAGAAATCACAAAATTAGGTTTTAATTTATATTCATTCCCACTGGTAATCCCTTGGTTGTCAAACTGCATGGTTAGACAGTGCCCCCTACTGTCTGATAATGCTGCTAGCAAGAAATCAGATTTGTGAGTGATAACTTTGGTCTTTGGCAACAGGGGTCACTCTGGAGGCTGACACTGTCATGTACAAATATCATACAGCCTGCAGTACTGTGTGTCTGTCTGCAGATACTTGTAAACATCCACAGCCGCAACAGATGGATCAAACAGCCACACAGCACTGAGTGATCTCCACTTTTATAAATGAACAATCAGTGCTGCCAGGTTGTGTCATACATAACACTGACCTGACATTGCTAATCATTAATGCATTATAAAACTGAAAAATCACACTGTGCTGTGTCTGGGCTGTTTGCTGTGGGGCCAGGGCCATGTTTGTGTATGCATATGATTTAAACAGTTCCTGCCTGGCCAATAGCCCCGGGTAGGCATCATATGACATCCTCCCGGATTTCCGCTGCGCTGCAGCGAGATCTGCCACTGGCTGTGTCCATTGGACACGGCCAATGACAGAGCTGTGTACTGGCCCATTGCTGGTACCATGTGACTGTTGTGACCAATTACAGCAGGTCACATGACAATGGTAAACAATGGATGGCTCCCTTTAATGCCATCCATTGTATACAACTGTGTTGCTAGCTGTGATTGGTCACAGTGATCACATGGTACAGACTGGGGCCAATTACAGCCCATCTTTGTCATATGATTAGCTGTGGCTAATCATAGCTTATCACAACAAAAACACTGAATGAATCCATTTCATTCAGTTAAATGCTTGCCTATAGCAGTGTAAAAAAAAATGTGTAAAAAGAAAAAAATACTGATCACTTCCCCAGAGTAGTACAATGTTATTATACTACTCTGGTCACAGTGTTTTATAAAAAAAATCATAAAAAAAATAGAAACAATGTAATTAAAAATAAAACATTGTATAAAATATTTTTTCTTCATACTGTCACTAGTCAGTGTCTGTGATCATGACCACACCATTTATAAGATGACGCTGTACTGCACTGATGACAGTTTGTAAAAAAATTTTCATTTATTTTGCAAAAAATTATGACACAAAAATTACAACTTCAAAAAACTCGCTATGCCTCTTACTAAATACCACTGACTGTCTATTTTCCAAAAAGGGGTCATTTGGGGGATATCCGTACTGTCTTGGAATTTTTGGGCCTCAAGAAATGAGATGAGGCTGTCAGAACATCAGGATTGATCGATTTTCAGATACCATAGTTTGTGGACTCTGTAACTTGTGGATTGTGGACTCTGTAACAGACAAAATAATATACACTAAATTGGGTTATTTTCTCCAAAGAAATGTATCAGTATGCATTTTGGTCTAAATTTATAAAAAAAAACAATTATTTAATTGCCAAAAGTTATAACAGAAACAAAGAAAAACTTTTTTTTTTTTTTAAAATCTTTAGTCTTCCTTTATTTATTTATTAAAAAATAAAAAAAATCAGTGGTGATTAACTGCCACCAAAAAAGGCTCTAGTTGTGTGAACAAAATTATAAAAAAATTAGTTTGGGTACAGTGTTGCATGATTGCGCAATTGTCATTCAAACTTAGCACTGAAGCTGATAATTTGTCTGCGCAGGAAGAGGGGTAAAAGTGTATTGAAATGGTTAATTCACTCCCAGTGTGTTCTACTGAAAGTTTAATTAGGATGGGTTTCAGCATGGGGCCCAACCAAATAAAAATGCATTCAGAATTTTGGATTGGACAGTACTTCTCAGAATAATCACATACAAGAATTATGTCCAATAAAGTGCACATGTAAGATTCTACATTAATCATTATCATTCATTTTCTATGTTGCATTTTTGAAGAAAATATGCCAAGAATGGACATATTTGTATGTCAATTAACATTTGTAGAGCACTTTAAAAAGCAAGAACCATCAATTAACATTTGTAAAACATTATCAACTGCAGTTTTTTTTTACATTAATTCATTATCTTAATACATCAGAACATGAAACTGTGGGCAAGAGAAGTGTAGATTGGATTGGTAGGGCAGGATCATTGCAGAAGGCATGTGAACACCTAATGGCAGAAATACATAAATATATGCATGTATGAGTTGCAGTAAGGGGGCACCATAAATATAAAGTAGTCCATACATGTACAAAGGAAAATAATTGATCAACCATGCATTAAAAACCCATACCTGACTTATTTTTTGTGAATAGCATCCCCTGCTGCTTCCTGGTTGAATGACACCGGGGGGTTTATTTACTAAAGCTGGAGAGTCCAAAATCAGACTCACTTCTGCATAGAAACCAATCAGCTTCCAGGTTTCATTGTCAAAGCTTCATTGAACAAGCTGAGGTTAGAAGCTGATTGGTTTCTATGCAGAAGGGAGTCTAATTTTGGACTCTCCAGCTTTAGTAAATAAACCCCCAAATGTCCTATAAACCACTTTGGGTCCACCCAGAACATCAAGTCACACTCCTTAGGGATGCTTCATGATGCCACTTTGGGCTTACAATACAGTGCCTCTAAGAATCCTAATGGCACCACTGCTTTCTGCATAACTGAGGACCACACTTTGGCAATCTTTTTCTAAAATCTTCTCAATGAGGCAATTGTTATATGTGATTGTAGATGTATGTGTACAGCTAGCATAAGTTTGTTTTTCGAAAATCCTAATAGGGTAACATATTTGTGACCAGTTTGCATACAAATAGTGTTTAATTGAATACTTCTTCAAACAAAAAAATCAGCTACTAGGCTGATGTGTTCAAGCAATTGCAATCACATTAGAGATTCTGGATGTAACTAAGACATTGCTAACTTGTCAACTATTTGTGTGTGCTTACTGGACTAATAGTTATATAGCAGAATTGTTTTGTGATGGGATCCCAGCAGCCCAGAGTGGAAGATGCATTTTAAATGGCTACTTTCTGACTACTGTCAGCTTTTTTTTAATAAAAGAAAAACAAATTGCAGCATTTTGCTTCACTTAATGTAAGCTCGTCTTGGACTTGGGTGATTGATGAGCACTTTTCACTAAAATACACTTTATTCTTGTTCTTGTCTGGCACAGGAAATTACATAAAGAAAACAGAACACAATATCAACCCATGCTGACCTATGCTTTATTGAGTAATTCTGAAATTTAAATCAGAATGTGACAGCCTAAAGGGTCAACTGAGTTTATCACTTCAGTGCATGTTTTATATTGTGATGCTCACTAAAAGGAAACATATATGCATGCCTTGTGTTGATAGAAAATGAATTCAACTGTTATAATGGTAGAACATTGTCTCTCATATGAAAAATTAAATAGAGACTATATTGGTGTTTATCTATAACTTGTGCAATAGCATAAGCTAAAGAATTATTATTTTTTCTGTAAAGGTGACCTAACACCCCATACCACCCACATTCCTGCTACACAATCCTGAGTTGTTGCTTTCTCTTCTCTCTGATGGCTGCCAGTATGGACCTGATGCATTCAAAATTGGTCAGCATCATCACATGGACAGGGCTGACCAATCAGAGTCCATCTAACCCATCCTGTCAGCGATGGAGAGAAGAGAAAGTGTCAGGGAATCCAAATCCTTGGACCAGTGGGGCAGCTTGTGGGAGCCCTGACAGCTCAGGATCATTGGAGGTAGGTACAGCAGACTGGGGGGAAGTGTAAAGTTACCTTGAACTAACACTGAGTTCCAGTGCCCCACCATGGTTTCTGCTGATGAAATGTTAGACAGTGGCTGGAAGGTCTCCTCATCATCGCAGATCTTGTCTGCAAGTCTCTTACACTTAGACGAATGCTGCATCATGATCATCCTCAGGGGTCCCTGCAACTGAACTTTGCTATAACATTTATCTTGAGGTCTATTTATGAATAACTGTATATACAGTACATGGGCATTTGTGCACAATTCCACCAGGGGCCTTTTGCTGATAGTATCTATTTGTACATTGAATTTATGTACTATTATTTATCTTTTCTTATATAAAGCTTGTATTATTTCCATACTAGTGTGCATCTATATACTATATGTGGCTTGCAGTATATCATTTGTTCCCAATCACTTTGATTAGATTACCGATCAATTTCCCAGAAAATGAATTTCCTCTGTTCACAGAGGCCCTGTCCTGGGTGGAGGCACGGCCAACTTTTTTATCAAGCCCACTCTTCCACTTAGTGAAGACTATGGTTCTCTTATTTATCTAGAGGTTTATCACAATATGCTGTTTGTGGAGGGCCATTTGCCATAGCCCTTCCAAAAGAGGGATACACTGCATTTTGAATTGAGGTTAATCAGTCATATGTTCCACTAGAAAGTACACATAGGGGTCCAGGCATGGGAGACAGCCTGTACATCTCTTTGCAAAACACAGCCAACATCATATGGATTACAGAAACAGGATACCTACACACTTTGGAAAATGTAAAATTCCTGGATGTCCTAAAGAAAATTCTACTGCAAAAGACAGAATTTTTAAAATGAATCAGATTCCTTTTGTTTTAGTAAATTACGGCCAATTAATTTATGATTTAGAATAAGTATGTTGGTTAGGCGTTATAACTTCTATACCACTTCTGTGACTTAGATTTGTCAAGTAGGGTGTTGGGGATGACAGACCTGGAATTTTCTCCCTTAACAATTCAACAAAAAAAGCTCCTAAATATTTTTATCTAATTGGTTTCCTTTAAACATTTAGAAATTTCAGCAGCCTCACACTGGTTGTTAGTAGTGACTTTTTTAAAAGTAGTTGTAAACGCTTACATATACCCAGTAAAATAATGGTCTCAGGTGATACACAGAAAGGAAACAAATCCTCCTATATAAGTTGTGCCTTTTTATCTACAATCTTATCTTCTCTACAGTCATTCAAAAACTGGAATTTATACAGCTTGTCTGAGCTTCCAGAAATCAGTTGAAGTTACACACTGCAGAGCTCAGTGAGGAAAGCCAGGAGCTGTTTGGAAAAAAGGGACACAGCACACAGGAAAATAGCTGACACTGTCAATCACAGGCTGTGTGCTGGAGCTCCCACTCCTGTCACCTTTTTACTTCTTGGTGTCAGGAAAATGTGTCAATTATTCATGCTGATAGCAGAGGAATGAGGCAGTAGACAAAAGTGACATTTAGTGCGCTAGATTGATACAAGTGCACAAAACAGAGTGATATGCTTTGTTCATATTTTATGGCAAAGGTTTACAATCACTTCAAAACAGGTTGTATTTGCAAAATGTATGGGTTTGCTTTACATGTAAATGTGTTTGGGGTCCCACAGCAAAACCTTTAAGGGGCCTCTGCGTCTCTAAACTCCATCTCAAATACATTTCCCCTAATGATACAAAATACTCATTGTTTTCATAGCAATTGCAATTTTCCATGCTTTACATAGATTACTTTCATTTTATTTAAATGCTGTTGTTACCTGCATAAACCATATTGATGAAAAATAGCTCTGTGCCCCATCGCAATCACTATACTGTAGTGATAGTTACACCTTTAGCTTTTCTTCTTTCTTTATTTCACTTATTGTGATGCCTTAATTCAACAAAATGCTGAAAAGTACATTCAGCATTGCTATGGGGAAAAAATTCTTTATGGCAGGTCACTGTTTTACTATGTACTTATCATACTGTCCATTAACGTTTCCATTAGTGTGTACCATTTCAGAAAATATGGGTGCGGACACACAACACTGCTCTCAGCTGCAATTCCAAGATCACACTGTTTTTTCTCTGTCTCATTT